TATTCTCAAATGTCATTTTCTGTTTTAGGTTTGCAAAAGGAAGAAAGTTCAAAGACGGTACAAGATACTGAACTTCAGAGAATTTTTTTTTTTTTTTTTTTTTTAAATACAGTGTTTGTCATTAAAAAATATCATAACACAGAAATCCCATTTAAATTCTTCAAATTTAGCCAAAATGAAAACTTTGACTGGACCCAGGCTGATGAGAAACAGTAGCTTTGGTTCAACCCAAATGCATTCACAATAAAATACATTTTAAATCCAGTTCAACAGTTCAATGAAAAGGTGCACAAAGAAAGTCAATAATGCATCGATTTAATTGGACACATTTCCAAGAGGAAATAAAACTCAAGAATGTGCAGAGAAAACCTGCCATATTCCTATAAAATTGTTGATTTGAGACAATTGCAGCCTCAATAATATGGATTTTATAGCAATTTCTTCATCTCTGAATGTTTAGTTGTCTTTTATAAGAAAAAAAAACAAAGTAAATCTCTACACTTGTTTTTATTTTTCTCCAAAGAAAAGATTTTGAATCGATTCACTCGTGTTTATTTAGTGCGAACGGCTTTGATATGTCGGCAAATTAGAAACAGAAAAGAAAAAAGGGAATAATTGATTTTGCTGAACTTTGTTATATTAAAATTCTTCTAATTTAAATAAAATAAACAGCTTCACTGGGCTCATTGACCTCAGAGTAACTTCTGTAACATTTATTTATTTATTTTTTCAGAAATAGTAAAAAAACAAAACAATAACCAAACAGTAACTTCTGTTTAGATCTTTCACAACTCAGTTCAATTTCCAGATCTGCAGAGGTTCAATGTTCATCTGTTTGAACTATTATATAATATAAACAGCTTGGAAATGTCTTCATTTGTTTTTGTGAATTTTTTTTGTCACTTTTGATGAATTATTTCAATGCTCATGTTGATCTTGATCTAAAGTGTGTTGTTTTAAACTCTGTTTAAGTCAAATAACTTAATTTGAACTCAAGATAACTGGACCAGACCAAAACCAAACATTTTATTTTGTGTGCGTCTTTTAATTTTTGCCAATTCAAAAAAGCCCTTGTGCATATCTGTCCTTTTTAACAAAGCATTTTGAAACAAAATGTGGTTATCAGAAGGGTTAGGGTTAGATGTGGATTGAACCAGACATTGTTCACATTTTCTTACAATTCAGATGTTGAAACTAAAGACAAGAGCGCTAATAATAAAACCTCATTCTTCCAACAATAACAGATTGTCTGTGAATCGTTTCGACTGCCCTTACATCCAGCCTGGCACTTTTTATATCTTACAATTGTTCCTCACCGCCAATTTAAACGTCTCCAAGACATCTTCACGTTTTCCTTCAACATTTAATGACAATTTTAGGACTATAGTCATAAAAACCTGATGTCAGATGAAGCTATAATTAATACAAAGCCTGATGTTGAAGGTTATACTCTAGCACAATATATGCATATTTTAGACATAAAATTTATTATCCCTCAAGACGGAAATTCAGGTACGCCAGCAGAAAACAGACAAGCTGAAGTAGATAGATGGAACAAGAAAAGTTAAAAGCAAACATCACGTTTTCAACCTTTGAACTCCCTACATGTTATTGTTTGTAATAACATGCAGGTCACAACGCCGGAGGGCAAAGAGACGATTCTTTTACATGCTGTTCATTCCATTAACTAAATGAAACCCGATTCATGTTGATCTGCAACAGGAAAGGGAAAATACAGCAGAAAAACCATTAAACAACTCAAAACCCTTTTTTTTTCTTGCTCTCTGTGTCGGCTGCACTGTATGCAAGTCGTTGCTGCAGCAACAAAATTCAAATGACGTTTAAAGGTGTAGACAAAATACTTTTGCATGAACAAATGTGTGCAGTGTTTCCTAAACAAGTGCAAAAAAAATTCATTTGAATGAAATGAAATCAAAGCAAAAATATTTTTACAGTGTAATATTATCAACTTGGCATCAATATTTTGGATCCAAAAACCTTTATCGCAAATGGCAGAAAATAGAGGAATTCAACTTTTTCTCATATTATATGTATTATACAGTCATAACATAGTGACAGTTTTACCAAATATATAAAAAATAAACTAGTGTAAAAGTCACTTACTGCAGGTTTAATGAAACAAGGACTGAAAATGACAAGTTTCCAGCTTTTCTGGTCACTCTGGCTCCATCTTTCTGTAGAGTATTTTGTCTTATACAAGCAAAGGAAGCAGAGAACTTACAGTAACTCTGCTAATGAGGGGAAAGATGCTATCTTCACACAGCTACGCTCAGACATCACGCGCCTGCAGCTATTTTCAGGGTGAGTGAAGCTTGTTTTCATCCAACTCTATTATTTCGCTCTAGGACAGATTCACTTTTGAATCGCTAACACGCACTGGGCTTGTTTACTCCCATGTTTTGTCTACGAGTCGCCGTCCTTGGTACCAGATGGCGAAGGTATTAGTGTTGCTCCACGGAGCCGCGGCTTCTCAGGCAACGTGTGTTGCTTATATCGGAGATGGGCTTTCCTCTGAACGCCCGGCAGCTGAACAGCTTCGTGCACCTTGTTGCTCATTGGTTGTCCTGTGTTTGACCCCCAGGTCGAAATGGGATTTGTTAAAAATGGTGCAGGAGATGACGGCGCTTTTTATGACTCAGCCTTGACTCTGTTGACCAAAAAGCAATGAAGTCAGACTGCTGTTTGCTGGAGACTGTTTAATGCTAAAAAAACCAGCATAAAACCACAACAGGGCTTCTCAGCTGGAAGAATGTAAAGCTGCAGAGAAATACAGCAGCTGTACAATAAATGAAGCCATATAAACTCCAGCTACAAGCTGAGCTGGCTTCTTATCTAAGGTATTAGATACCTGATTTTGTTGCTTAATCTAGTGACTCTCCAACATTTTAGGCCAAAAAAACAAAAACAAAACATTTTCAGCAGAGAAAAAAGTGCAGGCCAGCATTATTTTAGCTACAGAAGATTTTTCTTTTGCATCCAGAACAAAATCACATATTTGTCATATTAGTCACCTGCTGTCTATTCAAAATAATCAATAAAGTACTCTCAACAAAGAAAGGGTCAGTGTGTGACCTTTTGCAGTTACATGCTCACCCCACATGAGCTTTTATGACATTTCTTTGGGGGTGTGGTTTCGGGAACTGACGGTCTGACGGGACAACCTCACTTCGCCTCTGTCCGACCGTGACATCTGCAGCGCTCCTCCTGAGCATCACCATAAGACCACAGCTGGATTAAATGAGAAATAGAAATAAAGCTAATGTGGGTTTTCTTATTTTCTTTCGTTATTAAATATGATTTTATTTTATCTCTAAAAAACATGATTTTATCTGATTGCTTTGACTCAGATTTTTATTAAAACCCCAACTACCTTCTATTAACAAAATAAGTTTCTGCAACTGAGCTGTTTAATTATTTTTTTGTTTTTCTACAAAGTACAGACTGAGAGGGACTGAAAACTCACATTTCAGTTTTTTTTTAAATCACAAATAATGTAAAAGACAAATCCATAATGTTTCTGTGATGGATATGGATGGAGAACCTACATAGATTTGTTCATAATTTGTGTAAATAATTACCAGTTTAGATGTACTCATAACAATAAAACTTAGGTGAAATATGACAACAATGCGAAATGCAATGTGAAATAAATGACTGGAGTTGCAGCTTTGCTTCGCTGGCATAACTCTGACACAAATTAAAAACAATACTTCATCCAGTTTTGCAAGGACTGCAAAAGAGAGACTCGTTTTAGAAGTTGAAAAAACAGAAAAGAAAACATGGCACAAAAGAAGAATCTGCGGCTTTTATGAAAAGGGCTGCATGTGTAATCTGTTAAAGGAGTTGTTTATGGTCACAAACACTGATTACCCTCTACTGCAAAGGATGAATTTTTAAAGACGGTGCTGCAGCCTGAGGGCAAACTCTAACACAAGCGCTTTGACTGTTGTTTACAGAGGCCACAGTAATTACAGCAACTTTACTTTCAGACATTACAGAAGATGTTCCTTCTATATATCTATCTATCTGAAGGAGTCATATGGAGGCCGCCTGCTGGAGCTAAATGTGGCTGTATAAAATGGTAAACGCTCTTCTATAAAGCCTTCTTTTCTATAAACACTTTCATACACTTTGAAAGTGGATGAAAAATTCAGTAGCGCATTTTATCCTGAAAAGGGTCAAATCAGTTGTCAAATCAGGTCAGAGGTCAAATGTTCCCTGAAAATGTAGAGAAAGTTTATAAATCACATCATGTTTCACTTGTGGGTTAATTTGCCCTTCTCAGTGCCTGGCAGGAGAGGTGGGTCAGTGTGCCCAGGGTATTGTCTTGAAGGCATGCAGGCAGGTTGAACTGTGGAACATATTGGTTTCCCCAACACTAGCAGAAGTTTGTGTTTTATTCAGAAATACATGTTAAGGAAAAGTATTTTCTAAAGTACTACAGTTAATTATTCAAGTTAGGGTTTACAGGTTATTTGTTATCTTCAAACCATGCAAACAACTTCTGAGGTGATATCCATCCTTCAGAGGCTCTTAATTTAGCCCAAACCAGTGAAAACAGACAAATAGCGATCCGTGGTTCATGGTGATTAGTGAGCTTTTGAGTTGCTCTCGAGAGGAGACATACGGGCTGACAAAAATCCTTTCAATCGACTGTGCAATCTAGTAATATTGATTAAATCACTTAGCCGGAGATGTTATTACTGCGTGACGAGTTAATCCATCTTACACTCATTCAAATATCTGCCGGTGTTTTGAAGCCGCAGAAATGGGCCTGTGGCTGCACTCCAAGCCGCTCATGCAGGTTTTATGGCAATTTGCGAAGCCGCGTTGGGCTCCGTCGTCTCTCCGCAAACCCGTTTAAACACGAGCAATCTGAGGTGGCTTCAAACCAAACTATGAGGAGATAATCTCAAGGATTTCTGCAATTTTTTTGCAATAAAATAATGAGAGAATCCAAAAGATTGCAATCATTTTATTTTATTTTGAGTAGAAATTGTGCAGAAGAGCGTAAACAAAAAAAAACAAACAAACAAAAAAAAAAACATTTACAACAAATTTACTACAAATTTTACATGAATCCCTTCTTTAAATTCATGAGAATAAAATGGCTGAATCCCCTCATTAGCATGTAATTTAGGTTTTAAGTCAGGAACAAATCATTCATCTTGTTCTGGTTTATTGGAGAACAATAATTAGGACATTATTGAATTAGGACATTTATTATTTAATAACCAATGTCATGCTAAAAAGTGTAATTAACCTACTTTAAATCTCTGGAATCAACCAGAGTTGATCAGTCTTAGCACAAAATTGAGGTTTTCCATTACACTTTAATTAGCTTTAATTATTCATACTGACTGTATCAACTTTGAATTTGAACATAATTGGATATCAATGAGTGTGCATCTGTGTTTTCTCAAGGAAAGTGAATTATAAGCTTGAAATGTCAAGACAATGTCGCCTCTAAGCTCATTAAAGGTGAAGCGATCGGTTTCTGACTCAGTTTGATACAGGCATGACTTCCTGTCTCTGTGCCCTCTGTTCTTTTTTATAAGATTGCTACAAGCTGCTTTTTTCAGCTTCAACCCCAACATGAACGTTAAGATGCTAACGCCAGACCTGAGACTGTGCAAATCTGCATGCTGGTGCAGGTGATGCTGGAAACATAGATTCTTAGACTTCTGCTAATGTTTATGCTAATATGAGCAGTTACTGTTTGTATTAATAAACATGGATATTTTATTTGAAAGGTTATAAAAACCTTTTCTATATTAGACTAAAGTTCAAAAAAATCTATTAAATTTCTTTCCATTCAGCTTCTGAAAACTTTCTTAGGCTTTAAAGCTGTTTAAATTATAGCAGTTTTGATTATTTTCTTAATACTGAATCAATGTGTGGATGGTTTAAAGTTAATATTGGTGGCACAGAGGTAATGAACAGCAAAAATCAAATCAAACCTGGTAAAATAACATAAGAAAAAAGATTAAATTAAATGGTGTGAAGCAAGTAAACAAATGAAAATAGCAAGGCGACGATGCGAATTAAAATCCATAAACTCAGAAGTGGCAGAAAGTAGGTGTGTTTTTTAAATCATATTTTACAGCCGCCTCTTTTAAAACGCTCAGAACTTCCTTTTTTGATCATTTAAACTCTAAAACACACCTGAAAATGCATTAATACGCACAATGAAAACCGTCTGAAGAAACTGAAATCTATGGTTTTCCTTATCTACGCTCCTCCAGCCATATGACAAAGTTTATCCCTCTGATTGGACTTGAGAAGTTTTAGAAACACCATGTTGGACGTTTCTCCTGAAGATGTTCTTACGGTATCGCTTCATAGTTTAGAAAGTACCTATGTAAGTTTTGATCTTCATCAGAACGTTTTGTTTCCGAACCAGCAGCAGAGCAGCACTTATCGTCAGCGCCGGTATCAACACGGACTTCCTCGTGAGCCTCTTGAGGAGGGCGGACAGCGCCGTTGGCTTTGGGGGACGGTGGACGGTTTGGATCAGAGATTCCTGCTCCTCCGCGGTCAGGACAACATGGCAAACTTCAGCCAGAACCTCCAGAGCGGCCCGCTGGCCCGCCTGCACGGCGCCGCTCATGTAGCCGCACCATCGGGTGGCGGTCTCAGTGCCGGCCCAGTGGATCCTGTAAACCCGAAAACGTCCTTAAATCGTCACAAAGAGTTTTGTCTTTGCTTTTACATTCAAATCAGCACATTCAGAATCAACATCTAAATATATCCAACCTCAAATGAAAGTATTAGCATATTTTAAGGGTTATTTGTAATTTAAAAGCACAATAAAAGAAAAATAGGTTCAAGTTGCTGTGGCACCATTAAACGTAACAATTCTGCAGACGCATCACTTTCAATAAAATAAAAACAACTACAGCTGTTGACGAAGGCGAGGCCAGATTATTGTAGCTGAGACTAATTACCATCTGTCTTTTACAGGTCAATTCTACACAAAATAACATACACATGTTTACACCTAAGGCCAGATTTGAATCTCAAATTAACCTACTTTGCAGAAACACAGTTCAGACGGAAATATTCAAAAATTGTGACACAGAACTAGAACCACGGCGAACGTTTCCTGCCTGATACGGTCACTGACTTTGCTCTATATTAGTTGTGTGTTCAACATTCCCAACTAATTAGGATAAGCTTTGTTCAGTGCAGGAGAGCAGAATACGCTGCTGCTCCTTCTACGTGGCTCTACTCGGGTTTGGTGTCGACGCCGCTGCAGACGGAGAGCCGCAAACATGAACACACTGCCGACAGCAGGAAGCAAATTTACAACATTCATTATTCAGAACGAAAAAATGACAAATGTCAAAAGAAGACATTAAACAGTTTGTTCTGGTCAAAATAGATTGATAGATTGAATAGATCTTTTATTATCTAGGTTTGATGTAGCATTAAAGTTCTTGTGATTTTTTCTCTGAATTTCTTTGTCAAGCAGAATAACGACAGACTTTATATGTTTCTGCAAAATTATTTAACATAGCGACATTTTTAGGCATTATTTTTAAACAAAAAGCAAAAAATTATGACTGAAGAGCAAAACAAAACCTTTTCTGCAGTAGATTTGACAAACTACAATAGAAAAATGAAGAAATTCAAAAGGAAAAAGCATCAAGTTTACTACACTGGTATCAATCAAATACTGACCTGGTGTTGATATTTCTAGTTAATCCATGCAATCACATGCAATGTAAAACATACAGCAGCATGTAACACACACACACACCTTATATATGCCCAGATGGAGATGCTACAAGCAAAACCCACCAAATCAGTTATTATCCACTTCATATATCCTCTGCTGCTCTGTTACTGCAGAGAAATCTCTTTTCATTTTAATTAATGTGCCACCTATAACACAATATGCTCCACCTTTACCATCCCTTCTCCTTCTTCTGCCCTCTGGGCAAAAAAGGTTCTTCCTCTGACAGTCAAGGTTATACAAAGAAAGGTGAACAGCAAGTATTATTCTTATTTTTCCTCATTTTTCAAAGAGTACATCCTCTATTGTCTTGGAGTAAAGCCTGTGAGCCATCTTTTCCTGGTTTAAATTGTTTTCGTGCCAAATGGCTGAAACAATTCGTACTTGCAACCAATTAGCTGGTGACAGAACCCGCTGCGTCCAGCGGGACCATTAGCAACTTGAAATGTTGATTTACTTCCCCCAAAGTTAGATAAATTATTGCTACAGACCCAGTTCATGCTAGAAACAACAGATACTTGGAGTAAAAACTTGACATTGTCTTATTTTAAAACATGTTTAGTGCACAAAGGTTGGAAGTAGTGATTTGAGGAAATCTTATTTTCCATTTAAACTGCTGAAATGTTAAGTCCAGCAAAATGCTTTGTTTTTTTTATTTTTTATTTCTTTTGAGTTCAGACTGAAGTCACTCATGGTGTCTAAACAACTATCTTCCAGTTGATGCAATGAGTAGCTTCTCCTTTCTTAAACAATTATGAGGAAGAATGTACGTGGAAAAGATGTTAAGAAGGCTAAAATTATTGGCATAAAGCAGAGAAAACGTCTAAGGAAAATGCTCAAACTAATAAAACTGGGTTAAGAACTGACCAATGAGGAAGAAATGTGGTTGGAAAAAGATATTGTGAATGACCAATGATCACTTGAATGTTTGGTGAAACCACATTTTTGAATTTCCCGCTCAGCCCCTCCAGACTAGCGGCAGCAGCAATTAGACAGCTGGTGGATCTGAACGTCTCCTGAGCCTATCATAGAAACTACTTCTCAGCCCAAAGCTAATAAAAATGTTTGCAAATGGCATACCAGAGACGCGTTGTGATGACATACCGAGTCTCGGCAAGAGCAGAAGCTTCTTAAAGAGACAGAGGCCAATTTCAAGATGTCAAATCTCAAACTCAAATTTATTTTAAGTTGTTCGGTATGTGGAGAATTTTTATAGCAACTGAAGGTAACAGTTTCTTGATTATGATGAAAAAAAATACACATTTCCACCCATGTATCCTTGTTCTCCACTACTTTGTGTCTATTATCACATAAAATCCCAAAGACTATAGTGCAGTGTGGCTTTGAAGACACAAAATCTCCATTTCCAAGGCAATAAGCACTTTTGAATGGTGATGAATGACTTTTTAAATAAAAATCTCTATTCATTCATTCCCCTTTCAGTTGTATTTAGGTTAGTTGGTGCACATGCTGAGGGCTTTGTCCTTCCTCAAATCCTCTTTGATTACCGTCGTTTGAATCATTATGAAGCACTTTATAATTTTTTTTTTCTGTAACTAAAAGCACAAGTAAAATCAAATCATTCGTTTTTATTAAAAGAATAAGGACATTTCCTCAGGAAGAAATTAAAGTACTGTAGGAGCTTTGAGGTTGTTCATGTCAGTGTATATTGTTAAGCAAAATGGTGAGAAGTTGCCCTTTTCTGTGCATGACTTGGAGTTAATAAAGTGAAAATGAATAAAGCCGTAGACCGTCTGGAACTTTGCAGAACTTTCTGCTCTGATGGTATAAAATCAAAGGCGTTTCCATGTTTTCATAGCAGAAATCAATTCTTATGATGGTTTTGCCTCGACTGATTTCCCTTTGAGGTCGGCTCCAGTCAGTCAAAGCCGGTTAAAGTGCTTAAGAGAACGCGCCCGAGTCGAAATGTAGCGGTGATGACTTAATGACGACGGTCCAAATATTTTCTTCCACCTGCAAAAACACAGCAGACGATGAAAAGGAAAATCTTTCCCCCTGATGGTGAGCGGTTCACATGCCCTGCGGCAGGAACATGCTGCCTCCATCAGCACGCTGGCAGCCGCACCTCTGTTGGTTTTCTCACAGATGACTGTTTTCATCATATGCAGATCATTTGTATGCATTCTGTAGTGTATTATACCTCATTTTCCAAAATAGAGCCAATCCGGCTCTCTTTACACTTGGTCTAACTCAGAGCACAAGTCAGCTTCCTAATGTGAGCAACTGTTGCAGCTAACTATACAGCCGTTAAGCAATGCATGTTTGTTTATAATCTGAATTGTTTTGCTGCAAATACACAAGAGGACGCCTTTTATTCTTGCTTATGCATCATCTCTGTAGCCAGAACAGAAAAGAGGACGTTCATTTGATTTATTATTTAAAGGGAAGAGGTAAAGTGAGGGACAAATTAATTCTCACGAGTGCAGACCGACACCAGACCACAAAACTAACCCGTAGTCCGAAAGCCACCCCCACAACGTCTGGCCAACATCTTTTATGATTAATTTATATTTTCTGGTGCGGTCTCGGCTGCAAACTGCTTTGCCGTCTCGTCTGCGGCAGTGCAGCTGGATGTAAGAGAATAAAACAGAATCAAGATGAATAAAAACGCAGACTGACCATGTAAACAAATGGTCAGCAAGTTGCAGTGAGGATGTTTTTGTAAGCATTTTTATTTCCTAATAGGCTCAACAAGGGACTTCATCAACAGAACACCTTGAACTTTGGGAGAAATGTTAAGAAGCTTTCTTTGCAATGTGCTGCTTGTTAAAGTCTTCCACAGGTTGCCTGACGTCCCCCAAGGACAGAATTATATACATTGTCCTTCACACAGCTGTGAAAAAAAAAGCATTCATTCTGTATTTAGTCTGAATCTACAATTAGTTGTAGCAAGACTGAAAAAATTAACCCTTTAATTTTTAGATTTTAATAAAATATTGTCACATGAATATCGCTATAATCGCGCTGCAGGGAATTGTGGGTAAATGATGCCTAATGCTTCAACTGCACTAACTGCGTCCACCCAAAACAGCATGAGTAACGTCATTAAATTGAACCGGAGAGCACTGAAATCGACGGGAATGTAGAAACCATGAGGTTATGAAGTTGAGGAGGACCAAACGCAGGAAATGGACAGAGTTGGCCGGTGTTTGCTGCTGCCTTCAGCTTCATAAACGAAACAATGAATCGGTAAGTACTTCTGTAGCTCTATGACTGCTCCGGTCTTCATTGGTACTATTAGCGTACAGATCCATTAGCATTCAAACAATGACTGTGCTCTGGGAGCAGTGAGGCTTAGCCGCTAAGGTAACAATCACCTATTGGAGCCTTTGTCAGATTTGCTCGTACAAATGACTCAAAGTCTTCTGGAGAGAAATGTTGAGAGCACAAATCTTTGTGGTTTGGCTCTGATGTTCTGTTAGACATTGATTTTCTTTTTGTGTTGGAAGCATCCAGATTCACCTCACTGTTTTTTTTTCTTTTAAATTACAGCCGACAATGAGACAGTGTATCTAAAATTACACCAGTCAAACGTAATATTTTAAACAAGTCAGGTAAAGTTAGCCTTCCAGTAGATTCCAGTACAGAATGGACCAAAACCCATCATCAACTCAGCAGGTTCAAAAACGGTGACCTCCATGGATCAAGAATATGAGAAAAGATACACATTTTTGAAGTACTTATGAGTTTTGGTATATCATAAGCATCAACTGAAGTCTTTGACTGGAAAAATATGTTACAGATAAGCCCTGAATTTGACTAGGCCACTACAAAACAGGCGTGCTTCGCGTTTGGAGTTAAGGTCAAAAACTGGCAGCGGGATTTTCTACGATTGTTGCTTTTTCAGATAATTTAATTGTGTAAATTTAGGATTAAATTTAGACATTTTCGCTGCACTGAACATTCTTACAAACTGTTTCACCATTTTTGCTTCTACACATGCCTGAGAACAAATCATTACTGTACGCCCTTTAATTGCTTTTGCATTTGTTTTGGAGCAAACGTGTTGGCATGAAGAGAATGTGCTGAAAGTGTTTCATGAAAATTGTACAAGAAACTGAATAATTTTCTTTCCAGAAGCTGTAAAAGATTTGTGCAACATTTAGCAGCTGTTGCCCGTTCCATGTATAAGTTTTGTTTAGCTCTTGGCTCAGTGCATTTCATTTTGCTTGCAGTTCACTTGGGAGACCTCGACTCTTACATTTTTGATGCGCTGTAAAGGCCTGCCCATATTTTGTAGCCCAACGAAGCTCTTGTTGTTGGTATTCAAAGCACAGAGCTGTAACCTTGTAGAGGAGGGATATTGTGAAGACATTTATTCTAAGCTTTGGTACAATATCTTAGTCTGCAGATAGTGTTTTGATATTGAAGCAGAGATAATTGGAAATATTCTGTAAGAGGTTTTTGGACGTTAAAACAGGTGAAGTGGACAAATGCATGTAAATGTCTACATATATGTTATAAATATCATATCCATGCTAATAATTCATATATTCAAATATTGGCTGCACTTGATTTTATCAAATTAATTTTTAACTCAAAAAAAAAACATGCAGAAAAAAAGACTTTGAATGCGAGTTATCCTGAGAGATCCAAACCAATCTGCATTTACATAAAAGAATATTCACTTCAATTATTAAATCATCAATTAACTGTGATTCCTATTTTTTTTTTTTGGAAGCAGAACTAAAAATGTTCAGTTCTGTAACCAGAGCCAAGTCCCAAATAACTAAAATGACTTGAAACTGCCCTCAAAAAAAATAAATAACTCCTATTCCATAAGTTCAAACACCAAATAAACCTTAATATTTAGGATAGTGTTGCTAAACTTGAAGGTAAAGGTAATTCTATTTATGTTGCACATTTTCAGCAACAAGGCAGTTCAAAGTGCTTTACATGAATTAGAACGAAATACAACAAAACCAGAAGAAAGACAAAAAACGCTAAATATTGGTTCTCCATATTTGATTCTTGGAACTCCATAATTTATAAACTAACAAGAGATTCTCCAGGTCTTGCTCCAATATTAAAGTATAAAGCTAAATGTTGGTCTACTTGTGCGTTAACACCATTAGTTGCTGTGCGCTTCAAGCGTTTGGCGCGTCCGACAAACAAAAAAACAACGGCTAGAGCGATTTTAACGATTTTAACCATTAATCACGCGCGAAACGCATTTGCTGTGAACGTTTCTCAATCAGTAAGTATAAAACTAAACGTTTGTTCCTCTTGTCCTGTGTTGCATCGTCTAAGAAACAGTGAAATGAATCACCGTTTCACCTTGGTGAATGTAGATTTATCTTTAAAAAAAAAACAGAAATAAGAAACATCATTACCGCGGGTCTAAACTCAGGGTCACCGCGAATCAAGGATTAGGAGAATTACTTTGGGATACCAGAGGTGCTTTCACTCTTTGTAAACATCTCACAGAGCCGAGCAGCCTGACAAGCCATCCGAGTCTATTAGGCTTATTACAGAAAGCATAATGTAGCCCCTAATGAGATACAAAGGATCTCAAATCAAACCGCACTAATATCATCATTTCTCCAGCAATTAAATGAGGTATCTTCCTTGAGCTGGACGCGGTCAAGGTCGTAGCACATCTCTGGGGATTCATTTGTCATGCAGGGACTGAATGCCAATGAGGGGCCGCCATCCCCTCGCTGCTGTTTCAGTCACGTTACGCAACCAGCGCTCCCTCCTCCCCGTAGACTGGATGTCATTATAGAAATGCATTACCCGAATCCCCTTACCTTCCAGTCGCCCTCGTTCACTCAGTGCTGTGCATCTTTGAACAGGCCATTAGAAATGGATTATGGGACATTTTCTTCAAGGAATAAACCTCCTGATGACCCTTTTTCTTTTTGATCTGGACAAGCATGCTATAATTCAAGGCACTCTTCATGTCTCGTGTGTTTGAGTTGAGGAGGCATTAAAATGGTATAAGAATAGAATAAACAACCAGAAAATACACTGACTATCTCTCAACTTGTCAGCAACCAACCAGCAAATCTCATTAAATAATAAACTAAAAAAAAAATGACTTGGAAGATTCAGGATTTTCTTCTTCTTCTTCTCCATGGTTTGTCCAAGTGAGAGTGCAAAAGAAGACGGGACATTTGGAGGACTTGGAGACGCAGAGGTGTGATTATGTTTGTCATCAGCGGGGTGATTACCTGCCACACGGCTTCCTCAGGCTCGGCTGGTAAAACGTTAGCAGACCGGGAGCCATGACATTGACGGGGCAGCCGCCGCTGAACTCCTCCTTAGCCCAGTCCTTCAAAACAAAACGGGGCTAAAGATATAACTCAGATTTTAATGGTGCAGCAGAAAAAAAAAAGAAGGTAAAATGACAGTAACTCCTGGAAAACTAGCATATACTACTTAAAATTCGGATTTAATGAAGGATGTCCTCCCACCCCCCAAGACATCCTCGTTTGGCAGGATTATGAGAGTCTATTTTTTGTGAGACGTAAATCTACCAGCGTTCACAAATAATTAAACATAAATAATAAAAAAACTCACCTGGACAGTTAAAGTTGCCCAATTGTTCAAAAATACTTCAGTTTTGCTCATAGGAAGGTCTAAATGTTCACAAAAGCCTGAATTTGGAAGGATATTTTTCTATTTACCAAGTTTAGACTGAAGCCGTTATGGTTTGTATAAAATAGTTTAACCGTTAAACAAGAACATCACTGCAAAAACACAAATTCTTCAACATAGTTTGGTCTAGATTTTAGAGCAAGTATCTCAGTGCATTTGAAATTAAACTAACTTGAAGCACAGTTTCAGCAAGATACATAAATAATTCCTCAATACTGAATCAGGAAATTTATTTAAATTTACACATTGGTGCCCTTATTCTTTCTTTTATGTTGAAGAAAGAAATATGTTTCTTCATCTTTTCTTCCTGATATGTTTTTAAGTGACTTCTATTTTAAGTGTCTTGTATTTATGTTGATTGAACTTCTGATTTTGAAGACAATAATACATAAATCTAACATTCTATCTTTCATTTTTGTGGCATTTAGCAAATAGAAATAATTTTGGTAATCCTGACTGACATAAAACAAGCTAGTGAGGAAAAAATGGGAATGTGTCGCAATGCATTTGTTACTTATGCAAACTTCTGGTTGACTGCATATAGGTGGTGTTTTTCCTCGCTTTCAGACTGTATAGGAGCAGAGCATGAGATGAAAACAGAAAAAAAGTGAGAGAGAGAGAGAGAGAAGGGTGGAAAGGCAGACAAAATTACAGAGCTGAGGGATGAGGAATCTAAGACAGAAGAAATGAGCGTTGGGGAGAGCGGGAGAAAGATGGGCCTGAATCTGACAACGGTTTGAAGCGCTGTGATAAAGAGTCAGAGGGAGCCGGGGAAACAGGCGGCGCCGCTGCAAGATGATGTGGCAGGTCTTTAATTGATGTCTATATTAAACTGAGGCCAGTAGAGCGCAATATTTCACATTCTAGGACTCACTTTCTGTTGCATTAGTAGAAATTACAAAGTCACCGCAGCTATTTGCTGCGAAATTATTCTTGCATCCTGATCTTTTTGCTTTTTTTGGACAATTTTATCACCTTTTTCACTGTTTGTTGATGGTTTGTGCTTTCAAAGTTCTCCTGACCATCTGAGACATACACAGAACAGCTGGATTTAGAGATTAAAAACACACAAGTGGATCTTCTTAACTAATTAGGCACAGGATTTATTGAGGCGTCTCAGAGTAAAATTGCGATTGCAAAAAAGAAAAAAAATTACTTTTCAGACTTTTAAAGAGTTGTAGTTTCCAATTATTCACTACTTTTTGTTGGTTTATCATGTAAAATAAAGAAAAACATTTTTAAAAAAAAGGAAACTTGAACATTTCCAGCACTTAAATACTTTGCCAAACCCTGTTGATTAAAAAAAAAACTCATGCAATGAAGACTTCTTCTGTAACACAGCATGGCTTTTGTAAATTGTGGCAATTTCTACAATTGTGAGCCGCAGCTTAACTGCTCTGAGTGATTATAAGACAAATTAAACTGTCAGTGTTGAAGGAACTGAATTAGATGCTTTTAAAGCGTTTTGCTGCATAGCTTAAAAGCTGTCGCTTTGTGCCGTCGTTCAGTTACATTCATTGACATTTTTATTGGTCACGTAGAGCCGGTATGTGCAACATGTGTTCAGAGAAGAGATGGGGAATGTATAGAAACGTGGATTAGAAAAGCTGACCCACGGCGTACGGTGAACCCGGGTGGAGATCCGCTGCACCTGCTGAATATTTGCCGGGTCCAAGTTGACTCACTGACGTAAACCTGCAATTTTCCCTCTTAATGGGAAAGCGGAGGAACGCAACCGCTCCGAGCCCGGTGAGACGCGGCGGAGAAATTAAAATGATCTTTTGAACTCAAAGGCGTTCTTGTCTGTACGTTTATCGTCGGGGACGTTCGGATAACGGTAATTAAAAGAAGGTGGAGGAGAAATCTGATAACAGTTTAGCGGCCATAAAGAAAATCGAGGGAAATCTTTCCGCCGCTTAAGCAGCCTTCATTCATTATTCTGGCTTTACTCAAAGTAATTGTTCTTAAAAGTGATGTCCCCCGTGAGTCTCTTTTGTCAGCGAAGTAAAATCATGATATCTCCCTTAATGTTGCTGCCTTTGGTTTGCTGAAGGCGCTTTTCCACTGGAGCCTGGCTTTGGATGTTACGGTGGAGGAAAAGCAGCCGAGTAGCTGGAATCACACATCCGGCATGATTAATGTACTGTTTCACATTTAATCAATGTGCACTATGCATCATGTAATGCAGCTAAATAGCTGGTCTGTTTGTGTGTGACACAACAACATTAGGGCAAAAATGATATTCCCAGCAAGGTATTTTCCTCTCCAGTAGAGTCGCTCTGTTGCTGGTTTCATATTCCTCCATGGATTTAAAGGGAACCATTTTAAATCAGATTAATGCACCTTCTTTGGAGATTCCTGATTAAATTTATGGAGTAGAAAAGGAAATGTTTCCTCTTCTGTGTACAAAAACACAATAAAAACTCAAAAAGAAGATACCTTTGCTTTTCACAAAGTTGTGGAAATACAGAAAAATCTGCTTTTGTGTCAAAATGTCCTGCATGTGGTGGTGGGTGGTGTCCGTCCTGAACCGGAATGTTATTGGTCAATTTGTTTTTATTTAGCGGCTTGACATTCTGTCCATAAGCTAAATGTGACGATGCAGTGAAGTTACCTGCAAATCAATAAGCAGACTTTTAGCCCTCATGCGGTTTTAAGAGGGGTTGACTAAACTTTTCACCCTGTGTGCTTTTACAAGGTTGTTTTTTTAACTGAAGTGCTCATGGGATGCCCCACAGCTTTTTACACTGACTGACCGTGACATCTGCCGCGCTCTTCTCCAGCGTCACGCTAAGCTGAGAGAGTTAAACTCTTAAATCCAGTCAAAACGTTTGTCAAAAAAGTAGAAATTAAGAAACCGTCGTTGCTTCACATTCTCCTCGGGAAGTCTCAGAAAAACCACCTGAATCCGAGACCCTCGGTCCTCTCCCACCTGTGGATCTCATGGGTTGGCTTTTCTTTTCTATCTTTATCATTTACAGTAATTGTCCAAAAAAATAAATAGCAGGTTCACGATGTTGAAGTAGCCATGTTCCTCTGTGTTTTATCAAAACAGGACAAGGATCTCAATGAGACATAAAGGTCAAATATAGATATATTTTCAAATCTTGTTTGACCTTGAAAGATACATTTTTTTATACTTATCAAACTTGGAAAATATTGCAATCAAATTTTGTGTGTTGTTTGCAGGATGGAAACAGTAAGATGTACAAAACCATAACACACACAGTGCTACGAAGCAACTTTCAAACTCTCTGAAGTTCTTCAGTCTTCAGCGAGAAAGTTTTACACACGGAGATGGAAAACATCTGACAGCTGCCGATAGTCACAGAAGCGGATGTTCCAGAAAATATCACACTGTCAGACCTCTTCTCTGCGTCTAAAGGCCTCAGATACAGAGTTAAATATTAACGTTCATGTCGGGAAAAGCAGAAAGACAAAAGAAGGGAGCAATTTATGGCAGAGGAAAGTTTTTCAATCTAAAAAGAATACAGTGGCATCACTTCAGATCAATCAGTGTTGTTTGTATCTCAAACAGGTTTACCATATTCCCATGGGCGCATTTTTATTCAAAGTACACATTATATTTAAATGTAAAGAGCATAAAGACATCCTCCTGCCTTCAGGGCTTCATTGCTTAAAGTTGGTGACTTCCTGTTTGTTGATCCATTTAAACCCAGAGTTCCTCCGAGTTTACAGTGGCTATTGAAATTCAGAACACATCTGCATTCCTTTTTTAATAATAGTGTATAAAATCAATAAAGTGGTTTATAACCCTGTTGGATGGGAGTCGGATTTTGCAGGTAAATTACAGCTAGTAGTTGAGGCTGGTTTTACGTGCCGCTACCTCACTTAGGAGCATCTCAGAGTAATGAAATGTGGAGGAATCTTGTCTCCAGGATTTAAGAAGGGATTGTGCTCCAAGCCATTCGTGGTCACAGTTATTGAGCAGTGCAGCACATCAATACAAAGGAGAATCAACTGCATTCCTGCACTGGCTGCTTTGCAAATTCACGCTTCCGGAGCTGCATTTTCTTTCAAATTTTACACATGCTCTATGGAAAAAAATATAAATAAAAAGAAGCTAATGGGCAAATATTCTGTGAACAATTCAAATTTACTCTTCACAGAAAAAACTGGGGTACACTTCACTACATTTCACAATAAAATCCATACAGGTTAACGGACTTTGGACATTTTATTATGTTGTATTGTTATTCCCTCAAACATAAACACTTTGTTGCTTTGACTCAGTGCAGCATGTTTGAGAAATCCTTGAATCTCCTGTGGCAACCAAAAGCACCCCAACCTATTTCCCTAAAGTTTCTCCTTGTAGTTTAATTTCCCCACCCTGCTCCTTCAGACTAGCGGCGGCAGAAATAGGCAAACACCTGGTGGAACTACTGAGCTTATCAAACTGCTCCAAGAAAACGGTTGAGAACTCCATCAATGGACGGCATAGAGAAACATTGTTGTGATGAGGAGTGTCGGAAACGGTTCATAAAAATTGGTTTCAATTATAGAGGATTATAATGCAAAAAAAGCTAGCAAAAGCAAAACTAGTCCTCATTTCCTTAAATCTGCACAGATCATGGATACTTGATTTTTAACAAAATAAAACATCAAATTGTATCAGTTTTTTATAGCAAAAACGTTGCAGGGTTGGGTTTATCCAAAACAACAAACACTTTGACCACTGCAGTACTTACTTTCTCCTCATAGTGAATGCACTGTGCAGCCTCAGGACCGAGATACTTCACCAGACTAGAAAGCACAGCCGCTCTTCTTTCTCCAGCCTGCAAACAGAGAAAATCCGGGCTCAGCGTTGTAGCAGGAGCGCTTAGCATTTAAAAGCGGAGCAGCATACTGCTGAAATAATAATGCACATCCATGTTTTTCCCAGCTCTAAGAGGGTTTGTATTTTGTGAGGAGCCACAACATTGAGCATGAAACCAGGAGGAATGTAAGAGTGTGGAGGAATAAAGGAGAGGATGGAGTGACATGCAGTGCAGCGGGGATGAGGGATCAAAGCTGAAATTTAATGCTTCCTGCTGCTGCCTTAGATGGACAACTGTTTACTAAATGACATTTTGGAACACACTGAATTCATTTGTTTTGTTTACAACTGATTTTTTTTGTTTCTAAATGATGTTTCAATATGAACGAACCCTAACCCTACGCACCCTAATCCTAACCCTAATGTTTTTATGCTGCTGCTAGTCTGGAGGAGCGGCAGCAACTTTTTTTATTTATAAACACTTTATAGATGAAACTGGCTTGGATTTGACTATTTTACTATGTAATCTGTATTTGAATGTACTTTGTTGGTCTATGATGCAAGACTGAAAACTTGTAGCTGATTTTTTTGGATCTGGAGACTAAATGTTTTGCCTCTTCTTTGCAAAATATCTCAAACTCAGTCAAAGTGAATGGAAAGCATTTGTTAAAAACGGTTTTCCTTGCCTCAGATTCTCAGTTAACTTTCAACGGTGCTTTTCTGGTACATGAATATGCTTTGATATAATCTTTATCCAGCAATTGTATTAAGCAGATTTTGTGCAGGGTTCATTTTAAGGCCAAGAGTCTGAATAAAAACAAACGACAAAGAGTGTGTTTAAAAACTGGAAAAAATTTTAACTATGCATAATTGTTTTAGGAAAACACTTAAAGTACCATTTAGGTAATTAAGGTTTGTAGTAGTAATGGAATATTATTTGATAATTGAAGTGCTTTTAATAGTAAAGATCCAGCTGGAGCTGCATAAAATCTGTAAACTTGCCCATATATTTTATGTATCTTCTTAGCGTTCCATTAGAAATTAGGTTGCAAACAAATTGCAGGCAAGACATGAGAGAGAAAATGTGAAAGAAAATGGTAATAACAGAGTTGGAAATAACTCAGACACATTTCAGACGGGTAAAAAAAAAGAGAAAGAAAACGAGGAACTGGAGAGGAAAAGTGTTTGAACCATTCAGCAAAACAATGTAAGCAAAACACAGCAAAGGAGAAAAATGAAACTCAAAGGAAGAAGATATAAACAACACAGTGAGATGCAGAAAAATTGCAGAAAGGATGAGCAAATTGGAAGGGCTGCGATGGAAAAACAGACAAACTGACAAAAAGAATAGAGATAAGGCAACATACACACAATTCCTGACTCGTCTTAACTGCCTCTACTGCATCTCTTTGTCTCCGCTGTCTCCCTGCTTATGACCTATTAATGTATCCCAAAGAAAAAAAAAATTAGGATTCCCTCTATGTGAAAAACAAACAACAGGGCTGCAAGAGTTTAAAGCAGAAGTAAACGCAGGTGGGGGCGCATCAGATGTCCATCCACCATTTTAAATTGCATTAGAAATGTTTATTGAAATCATTGTTGAAACATGAGAAAAGAAAAGAGGGTTACATAACGGCGCATTGATTTAAAATGAACCTGATTGGCTCTTGTTTTGCTAAACGCAGGTCACCTCACAGCTCGTTAAAGCAAGCAAAGCTTACAGACGACAATTGGAGAGCTCTGCAGCACTAAAGCGTGGGCTTATATGCTCAAAACATAAATAGAACATTTTCACAGCACAAAGAGCAAAACTGCAAAACTAAACTGTAGCTTAGTCGTAAAACGGTACGGTTACACCACATATTAAAAGGAAGGGTAAAAAGTTTTCAGGTGTCAAATCCGGCCCACCGCAACTATTTATGTGGTCCTCAAGACTCAGGAGTGTCGAAACTTTTTGTCACCTGGGCCAAAAAAAGGGAGGAAACTAAAATCAAACAAAATTGTCAAAGTTTTTGGTTCCTTTGGTTTTGATTTTGTTAAAATCCAAAACATAAAATGGGCATCTTGTTTTGACATTCTTTTGGACTCAGTATAACAAATTTATAACTCAGTCGAAGGGCCACAAATGGCCCCCAGCCCACACTTTGAACACCCCAATTTAAGAACACCATAAAAATCAAATCAGTTATTTTGTACAGTGTCAAATTACAATATGAAAATATGCTAAATATGTCATTTTAAGACGTGCTCGTCGTATTTTGATCGATTCTTTCCCACGTCGACTTTCAGAACAGTAATTCAGAAGTTCAAGCAACTGGAAAAAGACTGCTGGAAGATAACTAACTCCGGGTTATCCTGGCAGAGTTTAAATAATCACCAGAGAAAGCAAAACGTGGCATCTAGACATGTCTCTATGCTTAACGTCAGCTCTGCAGGGCTCAACTCTGCCAGTTCAGTGTTTACATCTAAAACGAAGATATATGCATGATTGAATTTTGTTCTCACTTTTTTGTACCAGATTTAATGCATCTTTGCAATTATAATAATGGAAAAAGTCAAACATATTACTGTAGTATTTAGTATAAGAGCATAGCTGAAGCAGTTCTAGGTTCAAATTGTGGTTTGGAGTCTACTCCAGCTTCCTTTCACAGTCCAAAACCATAACATTTAGGCTGGGATTGATCTATTAGTTTAAAGTTAGTTAAAATGCGTCATAAATAAGGTCTCTGTCACTTTAATTCCACCAGAGCAAACCAGTGTTCAGCGATCTAAAACTCTTGCTGTGGGAAATAATGTGGGGCAAGAAGGTGCAAACGAAAAATGGCATATCCGATCAACAACTTCATCTTATTTAAACAGCACATACTGTGCATAATTGTAACCCTTGTGCGTCACACGCTACCACATTTTCTCTGTGTTCAGAAGCAGAGCAGCAAGTGGAGGTTAATTATTAAGAACCTTTTGCTGCTCGTCTCTGCAGGGTGACAGCGACTACAGCTGCAGAGCTTTAAAGCAAGGCAGGAAAACGACCTAAATTGCAAAACAACACCAGACACAATGTTGGGTTTTGTCTTTTTTTCTCCACGAGTAAAAAACAAAAAAGTACTAGAAAAGGGTGAAAAAAGGCAGAGGAGTTATATTCTTGTCGGCTGTGAGTGCAAGAAGGGTACCTAGTAAGAATTGAAACACTTACAGCTGTTTGAAAATGATAAGATTGTATTTACTCCCAGAAAAATGAAGCAGAATAGAATCAAGAAGGAACATTTTCACATTGACATAAGAAAAAAAAAAGTACAAAAGGACATTGGCAGCAACAGCTCCAACAGTGACTTACAGTTTTCACACCTGATATTCAATGGGGACAGAAATTGCAACATTTGTTACATTTTCAGCTGGTGCAGTTTGCTTTCACACAGCACCGGGTCAAACAAAGCAAAACGTTTGCAAAACTTGTTCACCTCCTCACCTGTGGGGGCGCTGCGTCAAGAACCACTGAAGGAAATGACAAAATCTCAGGAGAAAACACTGAGCACAACTGTCTTCTTCGCAAAGTATAAACAAAAATGGAGCGGAGTCAGAGTTTAGTGGTTGTAGGATTTCTTTAGCTGTATTTAGCCAGAATTATCTGAGCTTTATTCCACTTTCTGCTCAGTGTTCACATATTTATTCAAACCGCACCAGAGTTAGATTTTTTTGGTGTACATCAGAGATTGATTACACATTCACATCTCCCCAAATGAACCAGACTTTCTAGGCAAAGAAACTAGAATCAGATTAAAGCAGACTAAACTGGGCTGGTGTGAATGCACCCTTAATTTAGAAACGAGACCTGGTTCAACCTAAACACAAATAGGTTGAGCCTGGAGCTCAACAAGTGGATTTAGATGATGGCCGAATGAATTATGTCAATGGCTTTGTCTGTGAAAGAAAGACAGCTAAATACAGTAGCACTCTTTTAGGAAAGAGACACAGCTAAAAAACAAAAAACACTGAGCTAAATGTACTTTCTAAAACCAGAATTCAAGAATTAACGCCAAAGGTTTAATCACCAGGAGGAGACGGTGTTAAACAAGACTCCTTGTTCAACAAGGAGACTTGCTAGCAACAGAGAATAGCTCCATTATTGGCTTCATACAGGAAAATGACCAAGCTAAACATGGAGTCAGGTATACTTTCTATCCTATTTCAGCACTGCAAAAAAGGTCATGTCAACAACAGCTTTGCCATTTATTTTATCTAGAGAAAAGATCTGGTTAATCAGAGAAACTGAGCTGGACAAAAACAAAAAGTGTTCGATAGTAAAGAGAAAAGAGAGTCACTTAAAAAAAACAAAAGCACTGAGCCAAGTGTACTTTCTACTGGAAAGAAAAAGACAAAAACTAACATCACCAAAAGCTCCATGACAGGCTTCATCACAAAAAGGAGACCCTGTTGAACAGAATACTGAGTTAGTAGCAACAGAGAACGTCTCCATCATTGGCTTAATACAGGAAAGAAATGGCTAAACATGGAAATATGGAGTCAGGTGTACTTTCTTTTGGAATAAAAAAGCACAATCACAACAATAGAGTAGTCATTTACTTTGTCTAGGACAGAAACGTTGCAAATCAGTGAAACTGAGCTGGACAAAAAATAAAAAAATAAAAATAAAAATAAAAAACCTCGAAGGTACTGGCAGTACAATGTCCACTAATGATTTTTTTTCCTGGAGTAATCTTAATGAAATCTTTTCTTTCACCTCACATCCAGCGCAAACATCTTCATTTTCCAGCCAATTAACACCTAATGAACTAAAAGCACCAGGTGCCCATTGCAGAGGGCACTTAGACATAAATGTCCTCACACTTGGTTTTGTTTTGGGCCACTTAAAAATGCTTTTATCTCCTATATTTTATGAAGTAATAGCCATTGCGAGCTGGCAGCAGCATCCGCCCCTCCATCCGCCTCATTCCTGGATGCAATTTTCTTAATGCTGCACTCAAGTAATATTGTTATTATGACAAGACACAATACTCTGCCTTTGTCTCCACACACAATGGAAATCTGCACCAACCCTCAACATGCAGTCAAAATCGGATGAACCTCTCTGTAATGCTAATGTAGCCTGTTATTTTAGAGTAAATGGGAAATAAATGAATGTTTGAAAACATTTCAGTTTTCGTGACCTGTTATTCCTGCCTAATATTTGAGCCTTTTATATCCACGCTGAATACATCTCGCTTTCCTCATTTTACCATTAGCATGCTCCATGACTTCACATGAGATCATGCTGAATTCAAATCAAATATCAAACAAGCCTCAAGAGCGGCGGCTGCATGCAGGATGAGAGCTCTGCTAAGATAAACACAGGTTCATAATAATCTGATTAGACCGCTCTCAGCCCCTGTTGACTTTACCTCTCTCGCGCTCCAGAGAGTCGCCTGCTGGCCGGAAATGAAGCCCACCAGGGCCGGGTTCCCACGTGGGCTGGTGGCGTCAAAGGTGACGCTGAACGGACAGTCGGTGGAAGATCCTGCCACGATTTCTCCGGAGAAACCTTTCTCCTTCCAAAAGGCCTGCAGGAAGACAGAGACGTTCCAGCTCCATCAGTGGTTTGGAGTTAAGTTCAATTCAACAATAAAATCCCGAATGAGACGTTAAATGGGCATCCAATCTTAAGAAGAAAGATAATCATGAAAAGAAGAGTTTCTTTGATTTTCAGCAGGGGAGCATGAAGTGGATCCGCTCAGAGGCAGAATTGATTTAAGTTGACAGCGAGGGGGCAACATTTTGATGAGTAATTTTTCTGCTAATTCTTACTAGATTGTTATATTTCTGCTGCATTTACAGGAGTGGTTTATTTTCTACAGGTGTGGAAACAATAATACACTTATTCCTCTCAGTCAGTAGGTCAGTTTACGTCCAGACTGGCCTTCAACACCAGTTAAAGAAAAAGGGAAGAAAAAAAAGTGGATTAGTACTTTATTTTATTTTTTACCAAATTAAATTTTTTGTCATTTATCAGCCCATGATGTTGTGATTGTTGTCACAACATCATTGTTGTGATTGTTGCGCACATGAACCTGCAAGTATTTAGAGGCAAGTCTTCACCTCCAGTTCTTTGAAAAATACCTAAAGGTCTGTCAGACTGCATGGCAAGCAGCTGTGACCAGCAATTTCCTATTGGATTTGGGTTTGGACTTTGACTAGGCCACTCCAACACACACTGGCCCAGTCTCCACTCTTGTGCAGGCTCAGTTTTTCATGCAGAACTATCCTGTATCAATTCCATCGTAAAATCTGACCAGCTTTCTGCCTCATGCAGAATTAATATTCTGATCCAAACTGTATTTTGCATGAAAGCCAAATAATTTAGATTTTGATATCATCTGACCAGAGAACACCTTCTACCACATTTGTGTCGACTCCAGAGTTTTATTTCTGGAGTGTCTGACTTTTAGCTGTCCACCTGAAATACTCTCCCATCTAAACTGCGGATCTCTTACCAAAGTCCTTTTTGCAGGTTCTTGGCTGATTGATGTTGAAGAGGTCTGAGCATGTTGAGTTCAGGTGGACAGCCATGTCTTTATATGCTGGACCAAATAGAGCTCTGTAAAATTTTTAACGCTTTGAATAATATGTGTTGGTCCGTCTCATAATGTTCCTATAAAAAACTGTTAGCGGTTTTAATATAAAAAGATGTAAAAATTGTTTTGCCAGGCTGCAATAAAACTAAATCCAACTATGAATGCTCCATGTGATCATGTATTGTTTTTTCAAACAGGAGCATCACAGTTTCATGTTTTATTCCAGTGAGTGACTTGTAAACATCTTTATTAGGATCCCTGTTTTATTTTCAGAACAAATGAATCAAACTCTGAATTCACAGGCGTTGATTCGAGTCAGGCAATGTCACGCTGAAGTAAGACATGCATGACAAGAAGGTGTTTATTTTTGGTTGCAGATGGGAAATTGGCAGCTGGAACAGATTTATTCTCAATATTCATATAAACCGCACACAGAAAATCAGGACAGTTATTTTCCTGGAAGCTCAAAAAAAAGAGAGCAAAGAATACAGACGTTCACCGAGAGCTGAGGAGAGCATCCTGGGTCGCATATATGTTAAAAAAAAAAGCACTATACAAATAAACAATTTAATTTGATTATTACATGTGTAATGCAACATTTTTTAAAATCTTTTTAATCGTTAGCATTGACATTTTCCTGTTACTGTTTTACTCCAGGTGTGTCAAACTCATTATTGTTTGACTCAAATGCTCTTAAAGGGCCGGTCGTGTCAGAATGTATTAATAAAACCTGTTAAAACATCAATTAATTCTTAAGATTAAATCATCTTACTGAACATCCTCTAAGTCCCTCCAATGATACTGTTTGTGATTCTTTTGCAATAAAAATCAAAGCGTTTGTGCTACTAATTTGGGAACATTTGCACTTATTTATGACAGTATATGTGACTTTACATTACTCACACACTATAATTTGACATCAATTACAGCTGAGGGAGCTGCAAGTAAAGTTTTTGGCAATTTTTGAGAAAATCTAAAGTAAACTCTCAAGTTATGCATTACCATGAAAAAGTGCAGGAATTTGTTGATTTTGTGTGATTTTTCCATGATAATTCTTAAGAAACTGGAGAGACTGATATAATTTGGCAGTAAGCAGATAAAAAGTGCATTGATTTGGATGATAATGTAATACTTAAGCACATTTAGTGTCTAGGATCTAGAGGGTCACATAAGAAGCTATGGCGAGCCGGATTTGGCCCACAGGCCTCGAGTTTGACACGTGTTTTGCTCTATACAAAACAGAAAAGTTGCTCGCCTTTCGCCATTTTTACAGAGAGTTAACAAAAAACAAAATTTGGTATCATATCCCACAGGTTGGGGCAATCAGAAGAGACGTGATGGGATGAACCCAGTAGACTGAAATGATCTGCAAAAAGGCAGAAGGGCTGGATAGCACGACTGACGAGGCTGATCCAGATGAGTGACAGCCCTCTGAGCTGTTTGGGGGTGGGATGGTGTCAACCTGTCAGCTTAATTAGTCACCGGGTTTGTCTGGAAGGATCAAGTCTACATCCTTCAGCACAACCAGCAAATGTTGTGCAAATGTTCTCATGAAAAAATAAGAATTTGGCCCCCGTTGCATATGCTAGTTGTAGCCTGCCGGCAACTTCATGTAATGATAAGAGCCTTAAATGTAGCAACAACAAAGGCTTTTGGGGAGGACAAACTGCTTTGAATCTGCACCAAATAACACTTACATCACATTACATTATTTAGGCCTTTTTTCATTCCGGTTAGGATTATATAAACATCTGTACTTTCGCCAGAGATGAGAACGCAGGCCTGTGTTCACACAAGTTCAGCAGTTCAACACAAACTTTTTACTGTGACAATTTCTATTGTTTTCAGATTAAATGCCTTTTTTCCATAGCAAAAATTGATAGGACAATATTAAAATGACATTAGGCTATCATCAGTACAAGAAAAGCTGTAAAATAATACAGTTTACATCACCAGTCTTCAACTTAGGATTCGGATCTGCTCATTTTATTTTGTGTTGCAAACATTCTTGCGCATTTATCTTTGTTTTGCATCAGAATAATAGTACTGAACTTAAAGGATGATTGTTTTGGATCATCAACGACCTCAAAGTGAGCGCTTCTGCTGCACCAAAACTGCTTTTCAGGAGATTACAACCTTTTTCTCCAAAAGAGAAAATCATTGGCTCACCAGTGCAGAGCAGCAGCTTCCAGGGAGCACCAAGACCAGCTGTTTCTAATATCAAGGTCAAACGGACGAAATCGCCCAAACCATGCAATATTTGGACCTACAAGCAAGAAACGTCAGATTCATCCAAATCCAACAAACTGTCAACTCAACTTAGATCATTTTCAGTTAGGATTTGATCCAGACATTGATATCCAGTATGTAATTTACAAATTGGATCTTTAGTCATAAATTATGAATAAGGATTCCCTGGAATCATCAACTATCCTCTTTGCTATGCAAAGCATTTGTAGCATATAAACACAAAACTTGTCCAAATATCTTGGCTGTATATCAGTTTTTTTACATAATATTTAGCTCAGTTTTTATTTTTATCCCCAGCAGAAGGCCTTGCGTTTGTTAATGAAGCATGAAATCACTGAGTGCGTTAATGTCCGATAAAGTAAAACACATTCTCACAAGCTTTTTGTGTTGAGAAACCATTTATTTGGCTTTACATATTCAGTCTTGTTCCTATTTTATTCCACTGTCAGGCCGTTCTGTTCAGCATAAATTCTGACAAAATTATCGAAGGCCAAAGCAGAGGGTTGGTAATGCAGTGAAGAAATATCCACAAAACATAATGTGATAGTACTGTCAGGATAAATGTGAGTGCAGGAGGTTAAATCGATATCAGCAACATATTTTTCAGCTTTAGTTACACCTATTCACCAGACAAATGCAGCAAACCGTCTTTGTGTTCCCTGTCTTTCAGTTTTCAGCTAAAGAATGTAATGTTATTACAACCATATCGTGACGCACACCAGCGAGTTTGGTTTATATAATTTTTCAGTTTATATTAACAAGTAAAGAAATGGTGAAAAAAAATGAACAAGAATGGATATTATCTGTTCCATGAATAAAGCAGAAAAAAAGTGTGATTTATTTTCTTTGACATGTAAAAAAAATATAGTCTGCCAACATTATATTTACTGACATAATGTGCAAACAACTCAAAATCAACTGGAAGGTCAAGGCTGATTGTTGTTTGCCCTCAACAAGCATAAAAAAGAATGTATGTCAATGATTTTCATGTAATTTATTGCCATATTTATATTGTTCATGTGTTTTATGAAACTGCACAATGAAACTGCTGCCTTAAGTCGTTATAAAAATATCAAATTTGACAAAGAAATTTGGCTTTGTAGTTCAACATGTTGAAACTGGGTCGTTGTCTCTTTAAAAACTCCTGATCTTTTCGAAACTCCGCCTTCAGGAAGCCGTCACAGCTTCGCTCCTCCATTAACCCTTTAAAGTTTTTACCAGCATTTCACTGAGTAGCAGCTCGTAGCGATGCGCTGTTCCACCAGGTGTTTTGCTAATTGCTGCTGGCTAGTCTGAAGGAGCAGATTGGGGAAACTAGTCTGAAGGAGCAGATTGGGGAAACTAGTCTGAAGGAGCAGATTGGGGAAACTAGTCTGAAGGAGCAGATTGGGGAGCTTGGAAACTGCAGGAGGAGCTGCGCCTTGAAGCCGGGACTAGCTCTACCCAAGCATTTAGCACAACTGGATGGAGATTAAACATGAGAATCAAGGTATGTTTTTGATGAGGGGACAACATTATAACCTGGTGTAAAGGTAAAAAAAAGACAATTTTACATAACACTGTCCCTTTAAGTATAAATAATCTACAGTGCCTGGTATAATTCTTCAAGTCTTTTTAATTCACAGCAAAAATACTTTTACTCCTAATTGAATAAAGCTCCAAGGGATGGGTGTCTGTGAGCACACAATACAAAATTCATCAAATTTACCAGCAATTTTGGAGGCGAATGTCTCCAGTCTCCTTTTCTACGTTCAGACCCTATTAAACTACATGAAGAGGACTCCGTTGCTACCGGCATTGCCTCGGTAAATAACCTACCACATGGGGGAGAGAGGCATTGTCACTGGTAATTGAAGAGACAGATGCCTTTGCCTGCCTGAGAAACCCTCCATGGACTCAGACCGTGAGAGGGACAAGCTGGTGCTTCAAAGATTGCACCCAATGGGGGGATAAAACGAATCAAGAATGCAGACTGAAATATTTATGCTGATAATGCAAAATCCTTCAACTTGGCGAGATGATGGGGCAAAAGTGTTCCTGGGCGCCGAACGAGGACGTCATCCTAACGAGAACTCTGCTGCCATCTGTTATCATGGCGTCTCTGAGTTCCTCTTGGTTATAGGTTTTCACATGAGAGTAATTCTTAGCCACTCTCTGAGATGTTCCCGCCAGGGAGACGGGAAGCAAGATGGCAGTTTAGTGCACTAAACTTACTCCTCCGCTCGCATCAACAGGGACTGCTGGTGGTTCTTGATGTCATTTTAATGGAGCCGCTTGTATTCTCCAGAGCGCGTTCCTCTCAAGCCGTTTCTAGTCAAAACACTGGCGCCGTTCGGAAATACCTCTCTGAAAATGGTCTCAAAAATGAGAAGAATAGGAGCGGAGATGACATACTCCCACAAGCTAAGACCCTTGGTGGCGACTGCAAGCAGTAATTTCTTTTTCAGTCTCCAGTGAAAACAAGGACTTGAAAGAAGGTTGAGTTTTAGACGTGAAAGCTTATAACTGTTGGAAATTAAATTTGTTTCACAGTACAATGTGAGGAACAAATACAGTCAACATACAGTAGCATGTTTTCTGGGAGAACTTGAGTTCAAAACATGATAAGTACAACTTTGTGAAATAAAAGAGAATGGATATTTAGATGTTCACAAGACAAAAACTTGCAAGCAAAACTTCTCTGCATGAGACTTTAAAGTTAAAATTAGACACTTTGGTCACTGTCCAACTGCATGAAGGCATAAAATCTGTGCCAATCACTGCAGCAAATCAGAAGAGACATTGCTGCACCGGCATCCAAGGGCATATTAAAGGATGGAGAATGGAAGCACTTACTATTTATTTTTATTGCAGAGAGCTCCTGCATGGTTTTAAATGTACATATATGTTTGATTTAAAAAAAAATCTACATAATTTTAGAGCATATTTTCAATTAGGAAGAACTTTTTGAAAATTGCATTTAATTTTTAAAAAATTCCAGAAATGAAACTGAAGTGGCAATTTTCATTTTGGTGTTTATGGAAATAAAATAGGGCAAAACAAACCAAAAACTCCAAAAACAGCAGAACTTGATGCAATAAGTTTTCAGTGAATAAAATAAACAGTCTGAACCTGCCTCTTTATTTTCTTAGACATTGTAAAGGAAGTTGCTTTTATTATATAACATTTGGTTTATTCAGGCTGCAGGAAAGAGCAGGATTTAAACAGACAACAGGAAGTGACAAAAATATATATTTTTTCACAATATAATTTTTTTTCTTTTTGCTCTACTTTAGATGCATGTGTAGCTGTAAAATTAGATCCACTTGTTTATCTGACCAGAATTAACAGCTTTGGTTATCTTTAGCTCGGTAAAGAGAACTTTGTGTTCTCTGCATGTGATAAACAACCAATAAATTCAACATATGATAGCAAAAATTTGTGAGGCTGGAGTTAATTATCCTGAATTTTCCCTCAGTGGACAATAAAGGCCATTTCTATTCTAATTAGAAATCTGCTAAAAAACTCCAGCATAGCATTAGACATCTCAAAGAGAAAAGGCCTGGATGTGCTGTAGGAGAAAGATAAGCATATCATAATGAAGATAAGATTGTTTTGTGACTTCCTTGAGACTTTAAAGAGCACTTTCAAGTTCCCCTCGGTGCATCTTCTTACATAATTAATACAAAACTACAGAAGAAGAAAGCAGCAATGAATCACAAGTTAAGGATCCATGTTGAAATCTCTCTTCCTTTAAGATGAAAAATAAATTCCTCTTATTTTTAACATGCATGCAGCAGAGAGTGACAGAAAACATGGAGGGCAAGGGAAATTGAACAAACAAGCACCGCACAGCAGCGTATTGAACCGTGGAAGCTGCTGTCATGTCGGATGTGGCCCAGCCGTCAGGCCAGCTGGGTGTCTTTTTTTAATCATTCTTTCAGCTTCATTTAAAAGTTATTTTTCTCCTCATCCTTTCCCCAACACTTCAGCCAAGTATTTTCCATCCTCCAGAGGAGAGCGCACCCTATACTTTACCTTTGTGACCTTAATTTGAGCCCCCCCTCCGGCTGCAATGCACAGCTGTAATTAGTATAAAGTGAGCTCTTCAGTCATGCATGAAACCGGAGACTCCACACAGACACGCAGGAAGAGGACCAGAGCTTCATCTGTCACTCAGCCAACGATATTTTACGTGTTCCCGCAAATCTAAATATGTCCCGCTGTGCCACTGAGGCGCAGATCTAATAAATGTTTGCATGAGCACTAATGATCCTGCATTCATTACAGCTGGCAAATTTAATCTACTAACAAGGTGCATTCTGGTAATTAATGGTGTGGTTTGAAAGCACAAAATGAAGATGAAAGAAAAAATATCTCAGATGCTGTGCAAAGTCTTCAGCTCTGCATTTCGTTGCAGTTTGAAGCTGAAGCTTCCAAAGCTCATTTTTGTATACGGAGAATTTAACTTCAGGGAAAAATGTAAACACATTTCAGTTGTTACATAAGGGTGTTAATGAAAGCTGATTGCAGAGTTGCAACACAACCAGAATAGCAACTTTCTGGGTCTCCAACAAGTTTATGTTAAACTTGACCCTCTTGCAATGCAACTTTGAAAATCAATCAAACATACAACTGTGCGATATTATCTATTGCTTGAGTCTGGAATGATTGACTTCAGCAAACAGTTACCAATGGGTTCCAAGCTCCACTCAACATCTTAATAAAGTCAAATGCCCAAAATAAAATACGTACAACAGAGTACATTTAATCACAGAGGTAAACGAAGAAAACCAGACACAAATCAACCAGAAAAAAGACAAATTAGGTAAAATATTTACCTGTAAGCAACTATTTTTCCTTCAGTATGTTAAGTTAAATTAAACTGAATGTGCTCTGTTTTAGATCAGGTAGAACTGTTAGCATTATTTCTATTTGCTGAATATCTAAATAATGTGCAACATAAGATTTTAGCAACTAGCAAAATCAAATCCATTTTCCCCTAAAGCCTCCAGAAACTCTTTTTGAAAAATCTTTTAAAACAAATCTAAATGATATTTTCAAAATAATAGCCTCAACATTGCAGAATTATTTGTATATTAATCAATCAATCAAGATTATTTGTACAGCCTTTAATCCTGGTAATGATATTCAGGTGATAGAAGGCTGACTTTGTAAATGTCTTTATGTGGCTCTGAAGGTTCAGGTCTGATACCAGATCCAAAGTCAATAACTTCACTTTTGTTTCTGTTCAGCTGGAGAACAGAAACATATAACATATTGTTATAGAGTTACCTGTTGATATTGTAACGTAGAGTTGTATATCGTCTGCATAATTATGGTAGCTAATCTTATTTTCTGTTACAGCATAAGCTAATGGGAACATATAGATATTGAATAGGAGGAGTCCTGAGATTGAGCCTTGGGGTACTCCGTACTGTAGGCCTCTGAAGGAAAATAATGGGACCCATTTAACTGCCACAGAACTATCTATTCAGACTTCCCCAGATGAACAGTAATGCTCTCAAACACAGATTTGTGACTTTCTATCTCCCAAACAGCTGATCAGATTAACACAGATTATCAAATACAGATCACCTTGTACCCAAACAAGATGGCATAGCAGACAGGATAAGACAGAGACACACAAACAGACTAACTCAGTCGCAGACACATTTGGCTGTTGTCAGAGGAGCATTCGCCGGGCGGCATGAAATATCTTGAGATATTTCCTAGTGATCCGCTGCTACTCACCGTCTGATACGTTACAATAAACTTCATCATATGGCCGACAGGCATGTTCTGGGTGAGGAATGCTCTCATGCTGGGCAGGGCCGGCTGGTACTGGATCTTTGCTGGAGGATAAACAAAGACAGGAAATAATCTTAGAAAGCAACTACAGTAAAAAATGGAATGGAAAAGCGTATTTTTTTAGGCAATTTTTTTAACATTTTCATGGCTTGTTTTTGTCATCTCAGAAAAGGAAAAACAAATATATTCAGAAAAAACAACAACTAATCTGCACTGGATTTGACCTTTCACATATAAATTGCTTATATAAAAACTAACTTAAAAAATGTCCTTGCTGGATTTGAAGTTGTGGCCCGAACAAAGTTTTTATGTATTCATTACCTCAAGAGGAGCCAAAGTGATAAGAGTAGTTCTCTGAATGCCTGTCAAAATATACCAAGGTTTTCTTACATGGATGCTTTTATTTAGCCAATTTAGAAATTCAGAAAGCTTTGGGATAATGCCATCTCTGAATCTAACGGAATAAAAAAATGCATTTTTATTGTAGACTGTAAACTAATGTAAACTTCTTTCATCTATTTTTGCATAAATCTGAAAGATTTGCATTTTTTTTTTCTTTAGCTTTTTCTGAGCGTCAGTAGCATTTTTTAAGCAACGCTTCGGTACGATCAGATATGATGATTTAATAACCGTTTCCTAATGGCTCCATTTCAGTTGACATGCAATCAATTTCAGTGTCTGTTCTAAACACCGAAACTTACTTGATTCGTTAATTGCCGACTTGTTTAGTGGAAAAAACAGAACTCATTCTTCTGACTAAGTTTTGACAGATTGGAACCTGTTAATTTAATTTACTGAGTTTATCAAAGGTTCCCCACACAACGTCTAATCTAAACTGACTTGTTTCCATTAAGGTGCTGAAAAGTTCTCGTCACCACCACTGCATTGAGTTGACTTTTCTTGATTGGTTTCTACAAAGTGTTTGATTTTAATTAAGACATTTTGTTCAGTGGAGACGAAGGTTCATCAAAGTCCTCAAGGTTTAAAATTGGATCGTTTAATTTTCAATCTGTTCTGTTTGGTTGTTTTCAACCTTTTTTTTTTAATTATTTCTTTTCATGACTACCAAACATCTTTTTCAATTAATGTCACTATTTTTGTAAATAACATGTTTTGTATTAAATCCAGCAGCTTTCATTGGTCAGATAGGATTAATCACTTCAGCATTTCAGGTTAATCTGAAGTGCTGATTAACAGCACCTAAACTAATCTTTATCGTCAGTCAACTCCCACAAAATCAAGCTATTTTGCTAGATTCCTGCAGTGCTAATCCCCAGGAGGCAAAGCGAGACCATTTCTGAACGCCTGGCAGGTGAGGCAACATCTGGCCAGAAGCCAGGCTATTAACAAATGAACCACAGGAAAGAGGTGATGCATCATTTTTCAACTGTCAAGACCTGCCACTAACCTCAAAACAATGCTGAACTAAATTTATGAGCCACTGGCAGTAAAGTTGAATAACTGGGAAATGATAAGTGGCAGCAAACTAATTTGACATGGTCACACAGCCGTTCGAAGGACACCAGCACATGCAGAACTTAAAGCTCGTCAATCGGTGCCTCATGCTGGCGCCTTTTTGTTTTGAGCTGATGGAGAATTACCTTGTACTTGGCTTGGATCGGATACAATGTCTGGCTGAAGTATCCAAGAACAAATTGTGACGAATATGATTTGGATTTTATGTAATAACTCAGCAGAAAGTAGTGCATAATTATTAATTGGAGGAAAAAGACGTAAGAGTCGGTACTTTAAAGAGCTGCTTTAACTTCGCACATCCAGTGGTTGACATTTCTGAAAATCTGAGAGATTCATGCACTCAAACAATATATCCAACTTCAGTACCACTTTGATCTCAATAAATACAATTTAAATACAGTTTTATGTTTTCTTTTGCTCCTGTCTTTAAGAAGACCAATAAACATTTATCTTGGTGTTTCAAATAAACACCAAGATTGTGACAAGAAGGTAAGATATACTTGTGCATGAACTCTTTTAGTCATAATCAAGACCATGTGGCATTGAAGATGTCACTCAAACTCACAAAATAAATGTAAAAATGAAAAGAAAGTCTAAAAACCTCTGAAAGGGAGTTTTTCCACTGAAGTGGAAAGTAGTTGGATCACTACTCAACGTTTCCAGACACCCATCAATTTCTTCTCTTGGCCTTTTGAATGTGCATTGCTTTTGGCACCTTTTGAAGACCTTATTGATCATTCTGCCATGCTGCTCCACAGGGAATACAGCAAGGAAGGCCTGAGTCTGTCAACGACAAGATCGACTTGTCCAAGAGAATCTCAACTATAAATGAATGGACCTCCTTTATAGCAGCTAAAGGATCCATTAAAGGAGCAGCAGCTCAAACCAGTGAAGCAACCCCCAATATTCATGTTTTCATTTCTGGGGTCAAAGACTTTTAAAGACGACAACTCAAAGTTGTGTCCAGCAAACTGAGTGCAGAATTATTTAACCAGCAAAGATAAATGAGTCCAGAGAGAACAAGCACATTTTAGGTGTAAAATTAAGACCACTGACAAAGAGAGGGTTGTTTTTAGTTTTTTAATGAGCATCAACATTTGATGAGAGCCAAACATTTTTTGTTGTATTTTTACAAATTAAATAAAAATAGTTTTGTTTCTCACTGTCTCAAGTTAAATTAGATCAAATTTTCTTCTTTTAGCTTAGCTAATTATCCAAAAGTAATACTATTTGCTAAATGTCAGAAAACAAGAAAATTTTTTGTAGATTCAAAAGTTTACATACATTTGGTCAGGAATATCAGGAATTACTGTTTTTTAAACCTTTTTTTTTCTCTAATTTTTTTCTTGTATTTTTCCTTTTTCCTCTTGTTTTTTATTAGTTTTTTTTGCTTGCATGATTCTCATGGTCTTTAAAGTTTGTGATTTAGACACTTATTATATTTTAAAACAGACAATTCATAACTTCATAATTAATATATTCCTTTTTTCTCTTTTCTGTTGCCCCTACATCAAATGTGTCAAACTCGAGGCCTGGAAATTCACGCAAAATCAACAAATCCCTGCACTTTTTGTGCTAATACATAATTGGGAGTTTATTGAAGATTTATCTAAAAAATTATCAAAAAACTTTCTTGTACTAAACATCTGCCTCTGTCTTGATGTCAGATTAGAGTCTGATCTCTACACTGAGTAAAGCACAAATATTGCAAATATTTCCAAATTAGTACCACAAACACTGAAGTTTTATTCCAAAAATAGTATCACAAAATACTGAAAAGATGTTCAATAATAATTGATTTTAAGAATTCAATGATGTTTTGACAGTTTCTGAACAGTTTTTATCAATACGTTCTGACACAACTGGCCCTTTGCAGACTCAATACATGTAGCCACATAAAGAATGTGTCAGAAGGAGATGCTCTCATTCTGTGTTTATATTATTATTTATATTAATATTATGAGCGCTACAACTTGATGAAAGACGCTTTAAAAATGTTGGAATGTGTTCCAACATTTTAAAAGTAAAATCAACCCAAATCATGTAATTTTCTGAAATTCTTACAGCATATCTTTTCATGGTATTTTAAAGAGTGAGTGTCAAAACAAATTCTGGCCTCTAAACCCTGTTTCCCCAAGTTATCTTAATCTCACGTTCTCATTTTAAAGCACCGTTGCAGTTCATCCTGTCTCAGTCCATTTTGACAAACACACCACTAGAAACCCGCTGACCTTCCCTTCTCAATTTCCTCCGTCACAGAGATCTGAGTCAAATTGCAGTAAGAGCTGAGGAGAAGGCTTCAACATTTTCCAGTGCCGTCTTAAGTAGAACTTTCGAGCAGTGCGAAAAGCCCTCTCAAGGTCTGACAGTGAAACATGAAAAGTCACTCAAGTACATGCATTTTATCAAAGAATTGATGATTCAAGGATTAAGCTTGCCAATGGAAATGTATGGTGAGCAAAATAAAAGCTGAGGTTTATTACCCTACGTGCTATGAAATTAGATAATTTTCTTTATGTCCAAAAAGCAACAGACTAGAGGAAAAAAATGCAACCTGACAAACATAAGGGGAAAATGAAAAATATGCACAACATTTTTATTTTAGTGTGCGGCTGAGGCAATTTAATGTGAATCAGGAAAGAGCAGCAATGAATCGTTTCTTTTTTTTTTTTTTAATCATAAAGATACAAAGTACCCCTTACCTCACAATTCTGGGAAGGTATCCATACATGCGGCCAATTTTAAAGAACAAGGCAATAATGACAAATGGATGCCATTAAAACAAGAAGAAAAATTACAGCAATAAACTGTAAGGCCATCAGAAACTGGGAACATTCTTCATCAACCATTTAATCTAAATGTTAAAGATAGGTTTACATCTCAAAGCAGGTTCCACCACAGACCCTTTAGTGAATTACCTACTCAGACCTCTGACACTTATGAAAATGGAAAGCTGTGCAGCTGAAAGAGACCGCCTCCAACATTTTTCTGTGCATATACTATCATTAACATACTGGCATGTCTTGTGGTAAACTACTCCCCTATAACTTTTTACATTGAACAAACAACAAACTTTAATGTATTTTATGTGACAGATCAAAACAAATACATGCAAAAGTGGGGACTATAAGAGAAAGATGTTTAGTTATGAACTGAAAAATGCAGTTTACATTTAAACAAGCTCCTAAATTGGTCACAAAAGCTGATTAACAAACTGCATCATAAATCCAGAGGAACACAGACGAGTTGGGGAGAAGGTTGAAAGCAGGGTTGGGTTATAAAACAACCTAAACTAGAAGATCTCAAAGAGAACCCCTCAGTTCAGCAATACTTTAAAGTTACTGCATAATTGTACAGTAACTTGTGTTGGTCTATCATAAAGTCTACAATGAACTGCATTTACCTCTTAATATGCACAACATTTTTATCATAAAGATACAAACTACCCCTTACCTCACAATTCTGGGAAGGTATCCATGCACATGGCCAATTTTAAAGAACAAGGCAATAATGACGAACCAGAAGCCCTTAGAGGTCTGCAAGATTGATACAACAAAACTTTATTGTA